GAATTTATTATCTTTCCCTTTTGCCCAATTTGTTCGAGACGTTTTAAAATGCTTTCGAAGAATTGAAGATCACGTTCTGTTACTGAAAATCGAAAAAAAAAAAAACGGTTTAATAAGCGAAAAAAATATTATAATTCTTCTTACAATAATTATGCTTCAATCTGGTAACTTACTTTCTTGATCGATGAGTGTATAAAGTATGCTATTCTTGTCACTTGATGTCTTCGTATCTTCTTCATCACTGTTGTCATCATCAGCACTTACTTCCATGGATTGATTTCCGGTGTCTGTAGCATTGTTTACTGAATTTTTATTTTCTTGATATGATGTTGCACTTGAAGCAGAAGTTGAATCAAGTGCTTGGTTTTGTTTGTTAGAATACTCTACAGGCAGTGTTGAAGATGAAGGAAACGATGCGGCCGCAATTTGGAGACCACTCACTATGGATGGTTCCATTTCAATTGCAGTCGATATATTTTTGTCAATCACTCGTTGTTGTATCATTTTTATTTTATTCCGGATACCTAAATCATTTTTTTGTAAGTCATGGAACCATGTCAATATTTTCATAATCAATGGCGGAAAAAAGTGACACGAACAGCTAAAATACTTTGATATGGAAAAAATTAGAAAATAAAAAAATATAAGAAAAATGACTACTTACCACTAAATGCGATTATTTTTGCATCCTTTTTTTCGCACACGCCAGTCACACATTGCCACTTCTACTTGACGATTTCTCCTATCGAGCGTTTTTTTGCGATCAACGTAGTTTTTATGGCATCTTTAAAAGGTGAATTAATTCACCAAATTAAAACAAATATCATATTTGTCAGAGTTTTACACTTCTGTGCCATTATATTTTACACTTTCGCACTAAAAACACTTTTAAACTTCAATCACAATTTTTCTCTGTTAACGTTAACGAAATGAATATTTTGAACGCCCCTTTTTCGTTTCTTGGAAAATGCATAGTTACGACAAAGTTGTGGGTGGCTCGTTATGCAGCCAATTGATTATAATATCATGAAAAAATCTGAAGCCAACTTAAAACAGTTAAAATTGTTAAAAAAAATATGTCGAAAAAGTCTTTTCATCAGTTGTTATAAAGGAGACAAAGGGATTATTTGAAGTCAATTTTTAAGGTTGTAAATGAGATTAGCGCTATTAATACTACTACTGAAGAAACAATACCACCATTACCTGTAACAAGTGGCGTCAGTTTTAATACCTCCTACTTTTAATTTTTTAGGACATTACTTTTTGTTAATTCATATCAGACAAATCGTAGTCAGTACATTGTATAGATTCATTACAGTTTTAGTTTATTTTATAGATTAACATAAGTTAGGAACTGAATTATAATCAAATTATAAATGAAGATGATTCAGAAATGAGAGAACAACACGGTGAGTAAACTGAGGAGAATAGCAACAAATATGATGCCAGAACTGAAGAACACGATGAAGAAAATAGCGGCAGAAATGGAATAGAAATTTCGAGACTGGGTGCGAATCACAATATAAATGACAATAGTGGTAGAATAAGAGAATGCAATGAAGAATTAACTGAAGAAGGCAATGATGATAGGTATAGTGCCAGGGTCAATGAACATGATGAAGAAAATGTTAATAAAGATGATAATAATAGGCATGATGATAATGATGAAAGTTATAATAACCGAATTATTGATAGTAACAGTGATGATGATGATGAAAATGGCGACAGTTTTTATGAACATAATAGTCCACTTTATACGGATGCACCTTTAAAAATATCACAAAGCTTGACAATAATCTTGGCTCTTTTCACAAAACACAATTCCACGCAGTCAGGCCTAGAAGATATCATGATTGCTATCAATTTGCATTGTCCAAAAGACCATCTTTATAAACATAGCTTACAATAAATTTAAAAAATACTTTTCTTTTAATGATACAACTTCAAAACAGTATAAGAGACATTTTTATTGTTCATCTTGTAATAAAACGCTCAATTCTCTATAAGAAATCTGTCTGCAATGTACATCATCCAAAACGGCGTATTTTATCGAAGTACCCATAATAACACAATTAAAACAATTATATAGAAGACGATATTTTTACGAGAAACTTCAACACCACTTTCTAGAAGATGAGACAAATGTGAACACAGTTCCAAACAGCACAAATAACATTGTCACGATTAATGATATATATAGTGGCCAATTATACAAAAATATGATTGATTGTGGATTCTTGAAGAATAAGGACAACATTTCTTTGACTTGGTACACCGATGGAGTCCCAGTTTTCAAGTAATCACAAGTTAGTACATGGCCTTTATATTTGACAATTAACGAATTGCCATTTCATGAAAGAACAAAACGCGAAAATATATTGTTCATCGGTTTATGGTTTGGGAATAGAAAACCTTATGCTAATAATCTTATGTATAAGCTTCGTGAACAATTTCAAAAATTATACCAGGGAGTACAAATAAAGGTTCATGATAACCGTAGTATACTTATTCGAAGTACGTTGTTAATTGGAACATGGATTTTTTGAATTTGACTCAATTCAATGGATTTTTTGGGTGCCCATCATGTTTAGCTGAAGGTGATACATTTTACGTGGAATCTGGAGGAACATGCCATGTTTATCCTTTTAAAGAAATCCCGAATATACGAACATCAACGGACACCATCAGCTATGCGAGTATTGCACTGCAAACTAATCGCCCTTAAACGGTGTAAAAGGACCAACCTATCTATCCAAGATTATGCCAGATTTTATTCGCGGAACAGCAATCCATCGAATGCATTGTATCGATGGAGGTGTGATGAAAAAATTGATAGCGTTATGGTTTGATTCTGCTCATCGAAACCAACCATTTTCCCTGTTTAACGTGATCGGAGTTGTAAATAAACGCTTGGCTTCAGTCAAGCCGCCGAAATTCATCCATCGCATGCCTAGAAAGCTGAATGACATAAATCACTGGAAAACATCAGAATTGAATCATTTCTTATTTAATTATTCACTTCCGGTTTTAGATGGAATCATGGATCAAACTTATTTCCGACACTTTTCATTGCTCGTTTCAGGGATTGCAATGTTAAGCTCCGATGACATTGGTGATGAAATGTTAAATACATCGCATAATTTCTTAACTAAATTTGTTCGGGAATTTGAAAAATTGTATGGACTACGATATTGTTCCATTAACATTAATTTAATAATACATCTCGTAGATTGTGTGAAGAATCTAGGACCATTATGGGCTTATTCATGCTATCCGTATGAAGACTTGAATGGGCAGTTTTTGAATGTTGTACATAGCACAAGATATATTGATTCCCAAATCATTACCGCTCACCAACAAATATTAAAACTGCAAAAATTTCTGAACAATTTACCTGAAGGATAGATAAAGAATTTTTGCTGTGGACAAAAATATTCAGTTAAAATAACAGAAAAGATTGACGAAGGTTGTTATACTGTAGGATCGTATCAAACTATTGACCCACTACCAGATTTTGTGGCACAATCAGTATGACACCTGAGACCAATCAAAAAAATTCAAATATATCATAGGCTATTGAATCAGAGAAAATTATACATCTCAAAACAATATTGCAGAACCTTACAAACAATATCTTCATATATTATGTACGAAAATAATAATCAATCAAATTTTGGTAATATATACTTTTTTGTAAAGATTAATAATTGTCAATTTACAGAAACATGTGAATGTGTAGCAAATCATTATGTGATTCTACACAAAATTAAAGTGGAATACCCTTTCACAGCTTATGGCGATCGAGAAGTGCAGAATCATATATTACATTTACATAAATTTTATGAAACTGAAGATTACCTAATGATACCAATATCAGCAACAAAACTTGTCTGTACTGTTATGAAAATAGAAAATGTAATGTATGCCTATTAATTAATTAAAAAAATTCGACTCGGGTATCGTCATGTACGACCATATACGATTTTTGTATGGTGTCATATATAAATGGATATAGTTATATATTTTTGTATACAGTGTTATATGATAATTTGCATATAATCACATACAAATGTATCTGACGGTATACTATTATATATTGGTTTAACATTGAGTTTGGCTGCAGTTTTTGTACTCTTATGGCAACTTTGACTACAAAAAAGTTGTTTGTTCTTGAGGAAATTTTTGTATTGATTTGAAACTTTGTAACTTTCTTTAACCTCAAGTCGCACGCTAAATTAATGGCGAGCGAATTAGTTATTTCTTATTATTCGGTCGTGAAACCACTTGTTTTTAAAATTAACTATTTATTTACAGATATATGCAAATTGCACGTGTGTATTTAAAACTTATAAAACACAAATGAAGAAAATTACAGTGGCTAGTAATGAATATCTTGACTAAATAAATGAATATTTCTCTTTTCTCTTTTCTCTTCTGTCTCTCCTAAAATTAACCGCTGCAACCCCTTTTATCAGGAATTGTTGACAGAAACCACCCCACTTTTAACATACACAAAGAAATAAAAAGTCGAGCATACAAACAAAAAGAACTTTCTCTTACAAAACTGACTCGACGAAAATATATACAATGAAACAAATAGCTAGTAATGTCACTCGAAAGCGTGCTTCTTATTTTCTAGCTACCTTAATAAAACAATAAATTTATGTTCAATACTACTAATCTTAGCCTAGCAAATGACATTAAAAGGTCCAACTATACTACAGTTACATCCAGCGACCTTTGCCCCTACCTATGAATTATACCACCGGCCATGACACATCTAATTAGTATATAAGCTCATAATTTTCTCATTCATTCAACAGTCTACTTTATAGGTCAAACCTGTGCTAGTTGTTCATTTGCCATCATTTTGTGTAATAGTTAAGATAATATAAAGTGTAATCCAGGTTCTTGAAAACCGATCCAAATAAATGTGTTAAAACAAAGTTTTTTAAAACTCCATTCGAACATTGTACGTTTTAACTCCATACAAANATCAAGTTAAGACAAATGTCACAGAATTGTCCATGTCTCCCACCATCTACATTCAAAATTATGAAGAAATCCAGGCGTTACGGAACGGAACCCTGCTTATGACCACGACTAACCATTGGATCATTAATAACAAACAATATGGCTGCGGCTCCTACCTAATTAATTATGACAAAATAACAATCATAAATCAACAATTATTCGAAAAAGAAACTACATCAATAAGAAAAGAAGAAGTCCAGCTTGGAATGGTTACCCTACAAACTCCAAAGGAAGGGCTTCTCAAACTCAGCAACTATCCCCAAGACCATCGAGAAATAGCAACACTGCTGCAAAAGATCGAGAAAACTCCGGCCCATCTACAGCAGTTGACCTTCGCTTCACACGCTGCCATCACTACCCTCTCGTTCGTGATATTGACCACCCTAATCGCTACCTTGTGTCTGAAGGGAAAGATAAAGTCTGTTCTGCTCAAGAGGAACCGACACCGAGCCAATGAAGAACATGGTAGAGAACTTACATCCAGCGACCTTTGCCCCTACCTATGAATTATACCACCGGTCATGACACATCTAATTAGTATATAAGCTCATAATTTTCTCATTCATTCAACAGTCTACTTTATAGGTCAAACCTGTGCTAGTTGTTCATTTGCCATCATTTTGTGTAATAGTTAAGATAATATAAAGTGTAATCCAGGTTCTTGAAAACCGATCCAAATAAATGTGTTAAAACAAAGTTTTTTAAAACTCCATTCGAACATTGTACGTTTTAACTCCATACAAAAGAACTATAAATCTATCTAAAATGAAACTTACCAAGAAGCTGAAAATAACGGATATCATCAAAAAAAGGTTAAAATTAACTAACAAGAGGCATTACTATTGGATTTACGGATTAGTGTTTTAATTAGCTAGATTTTAGGTTTAGGAAAATATAATACACAGTCGTTAAGATTGACAAAAAACAACTTATTTTTTTATATCTATATATGACAACATCATAGATTGCTTTGCCATTAACTATTTCATCATTCTCCTTTTAAGCGCAAACCCATAGCTCTTTAACATTTTTGAATCTTCATCTGTGAAGTGGATTTTGTGAGGATGTCAGCAAGCATACTCTCAGTACCAACATATTTCACATCTATCACGTTCTTAGCAATCTTTTCTCGAAGAAAATGGTATCTGATATCGATATGTTTGCTGCGAGCACAGTATGATTTTGTACCTGCAAATTTAATAGTACTCTGATTATCACAATATAAAATGATGGATGAAGTTCCCATATCGCAGTGTAACTCAGACTCCAAATATCTAAGTCACATTGCTTCTTGTATTAGCGGTTGCAAGTGACATATACTCAGCCTCCATGGTGGATAAGGCAACAGTGTTCTTTCGTTTGAACACTATGAAGTTGCTGCATCTTGAAACATAAAAATGAAGCCAGAGCAAGACCTCCGACTATTAATATCTGAAGCCCAATCAGAGTCGCAGTAGCCAAACATCCTTTTATCTTCATTGTTTTGGCTAAATATTAATTTACAATCTTTAGTTCTTTTTATGTAGCTTAGTACTCTCTTCAGTGCTAACCAGCGTTGCTGTTCTGGCTTGTTATTAAAGCTACTTAGCTTGTTTACTATAAAATATGTCTGGCCTAGTTCTTTGAGATAAATTTAGTAAACTTCCAATAGCCTCTTGGTATGGTATATCCGTTAGAATATTCTCTTTATTTTCTGTACTAATTAATTTAACACTAGGGTCACATGGCGTTTGAACTGGGTTACAATCACTAATTTTGAATCTTTTTAGAATTTTTTCAATATAGGCAGTCTGATCAACGCTATTTCCATTTTTTAGTAAATTCTGTTCAATTTCCAACGAACAAAGTGATGTACATATCCAAGTTATTTCATATCAAATTTACATTTCAATTGCTGTTTTATTTTTTTTCCTGTTTCTGCATTATTATAAAATAATAGCAAGTCATGGACATATATAAGTACAAATAGAATAATTCCGCCATAATTTTTGTGGTGTATACATGGGTCCTCAAATGTACTTTTTAGTCCTAATTCCTTTAACATAGATGTTAGTTTCAAATTACATTGTCTGCTTGATACCATAAATGGGTTTATTTAATTTGCAAACATTTTCTCCATANAACTAACCGGCAGAGCAGAATCTGCATATTTAGTAGAAAGGCCAAGTGATTGGTCTACATTAAAAGCTTTAATCACCACAAAATTTAAATCACCAAGAAAATGAAGATTTGTTATTCAATCAATTAATTTCTTGCGTTAGAAAACCTAACGAAACTGTTGAGGATTTTTACGACAAAATTCAGGTAATTTTAACTAAATTAGCAGGTGTTTTTGAAGGTGACCCAATCCAAAATGCATTAATGAGTCACTATAAGAAAGAGGCCCTTAATATTTTTAAATTATCTGTAGGTGAACCCTATTATTCAGATTTAAAAATAAGACGACCCCTTTCATTATCTCAGGCACTCAATTATTGCAAAGAGTTAGACAATGAAAACAAGAAATTGGAAATATATAGGCAAATGGCAGGTACTTCCAAAACGCCACACACACACCACAACATTACACAAAAGCAACCACAGACGAATTACTTTGCACCTCGACAAAATTTCAATCCAATGCAAAGACAACACTTTACCAACCCTCAAACTTTTCAGCAAATTCCTAGACAACAATTTCCTTTATTAAACAGAAATACTCCCTTCAAACCTTTCATTGCGCCTAAGCCTCACCCGGTATTCCAACAACAGCACAGGAATACTCCTCGAAACAATTACCAAAGACCTAATTCTGGCGACGTTTCAATGAGAACCGTCTCTCAATTTAGACGACCAAATAATCTTCCAAATCAATCAAGACCTAATAATTTCCAAAACCAACAACGACCCAATTTCTTAGTTGAGGAATTGATAAATGTTGAACAAGACCCATATGTTTATGACGAATACGGAAATGCTTACCTACCCGTCCAACCTCTTGATACCGATACGTCCTATGAACCTGACGACTGTACTGACTCACAATTAGATGAAAATAACATCGACCAAAATGAAAATGAAAATGAAAATTTTCATACACAGGCCTCGAAAGACAAAATTACATAGACTTAGAAGAAATTAACAATGCTTTAGTAAAAACACCCAGACTACCCTACATTTACTCAAATGAATACGACTGCAAAATTTTGATAGATAGTGGAGCTTCAGACTCTATTATGAATTCTTCTTTGGCTTTTAAATATTTTTCTGATTATTTATACGAAGAACCCTTCGAAGTTAAAACGGCCCACGGACAGACCAAAGGACAGTACAAATTGTACATTCCTTTGTTACATGAATTTGACGAACCCACCTACATTGAATTTTCAGTTTTTGACTTTCATACAACATTCGACGCATTAATTAGTCATGCTGACTTGACTAAAATGAATGCAATAATAAATTATTCTAACAATACATTGACTACCGAACATACACAGATACAATTTCACGAGACAAGAGATAAAATTCTAACAAACATCACTTGCAAAATCCCAGTTAATTTACACAAAGGATCTTGTGTTATACTTGACCATGAACAAATTGTACCAGGTATCTATAATGTAGATAACGGTTTTGCTGATGTGCAATGTCTCAATAACATTCACATCGATGAGCCTATGGATGTAGATACCCTTGACAAATACGTTTACTCAGACAAAGCTCCAATTGATGACAATATAAATTGC